CCTGCCTCGAGTCGTGACCAGTCCCGGAGAAACCCTGGCAACGAATTCATCTCGATTACGCCGGTCCTATGGATGGGTGGTACTACTTCATCCTAGTGGACGCCTACACCAAGTGGCCGGAAGTGGTCCAAAGAAAAGATATTACATCTGCAGCGACGCTCCGAATCCTACGCAACATTTTTGCCAGATTCGGGTTTCCAGAGACGGTGGTGAGTGACAACGGGACTCAATTTACGAGCGAAGTATTCGAGGCTTACTGTGAGTCCAACGCTATTCTGCACCTGAAGACTGCTCACTATCATCCGCAGTCGAACGGGCTCGCTGAAAGGTTCGTCGACACCTTTAAGAGGACGTTGAAGAAAATTACCGCCGGAGGGGAAACGCTGCAAGGAGCTACCAGGACTTTCTTACAGTGTTACAGGTCAACACCATGTCGGAGCGCACCCGAAGGAAAGTCGCCTGCCGACCACCAACTCCAACGCACAAAATTGAAAACTCCAAGCAAGAAGAGTAGTTCAACCGGAAGCATGGTGTGATACCAAAGAGCTACTCTCATCAGGACCTTGTCTGGTCCAAAGTGTTCCGAAACAACAAGTGGCACTGGGAAGCAGGAGAAGTGCTTGAACGTATCGGCAAGGTCATGCACAACGTCTGGTTGCCTGGAAAGCAATCTCTGATAAGGTCCCACAGCAATCAGTTAAGAACCCGTCATCTGTCCGACAATCAACTGCCTGCGTTCGAATCACCAAGGGATCAGCAAACTCCGTTGGATACTGCTGGGCTCCTGGACCCTGAATGCTTTAGCGCCCGAACTGGATGATCTGCCTCCTCTTCCTCCTGAGCTGTCATCTCTAACCGTACAGTAGGCGACTATCGATGACGACACTTGCAACCCGGAGACGTGTGTCGCGATTGTTAGACCGGTGGGGGCGAGAGATGGTGCGTTCTTGATCGCCTAAAAGTGCTGCTCGAAGTTGAGGGACCGGTCAACGAGTACCCCCAGAATACGGACCTGGGCCTTGATCCTGTTACGTGCTGATGTTGAGCAGGTAGTTACGATAAGTACATCGTCAGCATACACGAAAATGTAAACATTTTCCGGCAGTCCTCCGAAAACTCCGTTCATGGCCACAAGGAAGAGGGTAACGGCGATAACTGAACCTTGTGGGACGCCGCCCGTCTCTTCTCTGATAAGCTGGGACCTCGTGAGACGGAGCAAAATAAAAAACAACAGACCGTGACGAGAGCCAGCTCGAATTAATGGCACAGCTGATCTGGCAATAACGGAGTTGTATCGAAGACGTATGAAAAGTTTCATCCAAATCGGAGCGGTTCGAGGATCGTTTGCTCATTTGGTGGAGAATTGTTCGATTGTAAATTAACGACCACAGATCTCATATCAGTTGCGCAAATTTGCTAACCACCGCATCCCAGTTTATGGTTGTCATCAGCCGGATCGAGTTGACGAAAATCACGTCAAGGATCTTCACCGTGTTGGCCGTCCGTAGCCATGGGATGTCGATGCGGTTTCCCTCGCAAAAACCAACATCAATGGCAACAGTTTTCCCCACATTCAGCTTGGCGCCAGCAGCTATCTCGAAACGGGTGAACAGTATATTCATTGCTTCGATTTGTGCTGCTGTTGTGACGATTACACTGATATCGTCGGCATACGCAACCAGCAGATCATTCCCGCACGCTTGTTCGAGTCAGCACGAAGAGGTGCATGGACAACGGGTCCCCCTGCCGCACCGAGCGTTGGATGTCGATCGGCCGTGAGAGGTGCCCATTCACGAGCAGGCGAGAGGTGGAGCGACTTGAAATCTGGGAGAGCAGAGTGATGAGATGCTGGTTGAAACCAAGCGATCGCATGGTCCCGAAGAGGTAAGAGTGCCGGACCCGATCGAAAGCATGATCGAGGTCGAAGCTGATCAGCTTCCCGGCGCGACGATGATGACGGAGGCTCGCAATTCGATCTTTCAGAGCGAGAGTGGCTTGAAAGATGTTTCGATCTGAGTTTGAGCATTTCTGCCCGTCGCTCAATATGCGGTGGGCTCGCATCACATTCTCGAGACGGGTTTTGAGGATACGAGAGAACAGTTTGTAGTCGGTGGTTAGAGGAGATATGGGACGATACGAACGGGCTGTCTCGTCGCCACCATTCTTTTTCACCAACACGTTGCAGGGAAGTTGCCAGTTAGCGCCTCATTCATCACCAGATTTAGCTCTCGGTGGATGACGTCGAAACAGCGATGGTAGAACTCTTTCGTAATCCCATCGCAGCCGGGTGACTTTCGGGATGCGCTAGCTCGTATCGCGGAGAGAATCTCGGTTGTGGTGATCTCGCTCGTGCACGCCTCATTTACCGGGTCGTTGGGTGGTATGGCGTTCTCGCAGTCGAAAGTGTTCCCACCGTCTATTCTCTCTTCTTCGGAGTAGAGGTGGGAGAAGTAATCCACCATGTGCGCCTCGATCGCGTGAGGCTCGTCGATAGTCCCGTTCTGCTCCGTTTGCAGTCGAGTGATGACGGTTCGCTTCCTTCTCCGTTCCCCCAGATGGAAGATCGAGATGGGTTCTCCCGCCACGTACCTCTCGTTGATGCGCATGAACATGTGCGAGAAGTTGCGCTGAAGCGCCAGCATCTCCCCCTTCAGTCGATTTACCGTTGTTAGCATCGCAGGGTTCTGGTAGTAGTCATCGTACGCTAGCCGTAGTTCGGCATAAAGCCGTTGGTGCTCGTTATGAAAATCGACGAAAGCGGCTCGAGATTTCCATTTTAAAAATTATTTGATTTTGGGCTTAGCGTACGACAGCCACCACTCCATCCAGGAGGCGTAGTTGCGACGCTGGCGGGTCCAATATTGCCAACTATATTGGAAATCCGCCACATTATCTTCGGTCAGCAGATGGGGGCGAAGGGACCAGAAACCTCGGCCGTGTTCACGTCCGAGAAGGGGAAGACAAAGCCTGAGTGTCAGAGCTTTGTGGTCGGAGAATGAGACCACATGCGGGTGCGCCGCTCGCAGCTGTTCGCGCAACCCGTTGCTCACGTAAATACGATCGAGACGGGATCGTGCATTCCGACTGATAAAAGTAAAACCGTCGAGAAGCTGGAGTTGTTGAACGGTCGTTTTGAGCGACGGGCTTGAATTCGGGCTGGATGAATCGCATGGGCGAAGCACGCAATTGAAGTCGCCCGTGAGTATTACGTGTTCGGTGCGATGTCGGAGATAATAGGAGAGTGTGCCGTTGAAGAAATCTTCTCGAGCGGCACGCAGCGCAGAGCCCGACGGGGCGTAGACATTAGCGACGGTGACGTTTTGCACTCGCAAGGCAATCAAACGACCGTCCAAGCTTTTCTCGACGTGTGAGTATTGGATGTGCGGCTTTAGTGCGATAGCCGTTCCCCTCCTCGCGTGATCTACGTTGGCGACAACGACGAAGCCTGGCAACGAGAGCTGTTCGTTTTCGACCTCTTGTAGGCACACGATGTCGAGGTTTTGGCTGTTGACGAAGGTGCTCAGAGCGTTTAGCTTTGTGGGACTAGTAATCGTGTTTACGTCGTCTTGGTTTTCGCGGCGGAGCTTTTTGGCAGGCGGTCGGTTTCGGTTGCCTGCTGCTGCTTGTCGATGTGGTCGATTCGTCCGTCTCATTGCCGTTGTATTTACTGCGCAGAGTCATACCACTTGGTTTTTTGAACAGTTCCACAGAAGCCACGCTAGTGTTTGGTACCTCGGTGGATTGTGGAGGTGTCAACGACAACGCCGGTGTTTCTTTCGGGCGCTGTTTGTTGGTTTGTGGTGTTTGTTTCCCCGCTCGCTCTGGTTGCTCGCTCTGACTCATAGCCTGCGGTACTATAAGGGGGAAATTTTTCGGCGTTACCGTTGGTGGCGCAACGGGTTTCGGACCGGCTGGTTTCGGTTGTGGTGGTTTCGGTTTTCGCTGCTGTTGCTGCTGCTGCTGTTGTGGTCCAGTCTTCTTTACCACATTTGCGTAGCTCTTCTGCACCAACGACTTTTTGTTTTGGACACACGATATGCCCGAGTGTGCGTGCTCTTTGCAGTAGCGGCACGACTGCAGTTGCCCTTTGTAGACGATATATGCCTGCTCTCCGTCGATGGTGACCCACGAGTCGATGTTAGTTTTCACCACCATACGGATAGACCAGATACCGAGCGGCACGCCTCCGAAATCGTACCTTTCGCCCCACATTAGTTCCCGGATCGAAAGCACTTCACCATACGCGCTGAGAAATGCGACGATCTTCTCCTCCGTCACATCTTCGGGTAGATCGTGTACACGCACTTCGACACTACCATCTTTCATCGTTATGCGAAGTTTGTACTTCTTCCCCGAACACTCCACTTCGTGCTTCTCGTTGTGTTCTTCGACCACTCTCTGGGCCGTCTCGAGGTCACCGACCTTCACGAACGCACATGACCCACCGCGATGGCACTGGAGTCTCTTCACGTCGTCCCTCGTCAGTCCAAGAACCGTACGACAAAACGCGTGGATTTTTTCGTACGAGGGCTTCAGGGGGAAGTTCGAATAATCAATCCGAAAAGTATTTTCTCGCCTCATCGCGGATCACTACACGCGACGCGGCACAGCGACACACGAAAGAAAAACGATATTTCAAAATGCTTGACTCACTGATAAGCGCAATCGAGAAAAAACGTCTGTACGTCTCAGAGGCTGAGCGATAACTGACGTATGAAAAGTTTCATCCAAATCGGAGCGGTTCGAGGATCGTTTGCTCATTTGGTGGAGAATTGTTCGACTGTGAATTAACGACCACAGATCTCACAATTTCAGATTTGTATGCTTGGTGAAATGTTCAAAACTGGACAGCGATGAATTTGATACTCAAGGATTATTTCTCTATTCAGAAAAACCTAGCTGCTCCGTTAGATTAATCAACAATTTTACTGACAATATTGACGGGGTCTATACGGGATCATCCATACTATGTTATGTTCGCAAAGACACCATGCAGAGTTGCAGCACCAATTGGACAAGTGAGGTGTTCCTAGAGCATTGGATGAACAAGTTGTCCGAACCATGGGTATCTAAAAAAAGGTAAAACCCTGCAACGATACTTTCATTGGAAAAATAAAGAACAAACCCTGAAAATATACTTTACAAAAGTGAAAATTGCAATTCGTTATGGATACGTATTGAACCTGCAAAAAAGAAACCTAAACATTGCAAAGAAGAGAGTTATGCTATGTTTTTATATGACATATGAAAGCCCATCAGTCTCATTTATATAAAAAAAAGTCAGCATTTTCAGTAGGTAGAATAAACTGTGCAATATAACTATAAGCTGAAACGAAAGAAATACCACCTTGCGTAATGCTCCACAGCTCGGACGAGGTAAAGACGCCCGTCGGTGCGATGAAATCGTACGAGAAGGCCTTACTGCTCCCTTTGGAAAATTTCCGTGAACTGTTGTGCGATTTTTCACCTTGGTTCTCCTCATCGCTGTGCGGATGGTTGGCGTTTGAAGTATTCGATGAATTGCGTGTGCAAAAATGGAATCAAAACAAAGAGAAAGAGAACAAAAATAAAGCAATTATCAAACAATTTGCTTCAGACACAGTAGGTTAGAGTGATCCAAAAAAAAATTAAAATTCTCTGGTGATTTAAGAAAACGCCATTGCTATAAACTACCACAAAAAAATAACACTAAGCTGAGGGAGTGTACAACTGAAAAACCGATGGTAGCATAATTTTTCATGGCTTGCTACTGCTATACTACTACTACTACTGTCTCGTGTCGGCAATATTTTCGTACAGTATTCTCGGAACTGAGCAGTGTCGGTGTACAAAAGATCGGTTAAGAAAATTACATCAGAGTAAGAGTAAATAAAAAAAAAAAAACGGAAACTGTATTAAACGTGCCACTGAAATTGTTGTGATGTGAAACAAAAAGAAAACGGTAAACAAAAATTTGCTGGAATGATCTACTGCAGATTTGGTTGTGGCCTAAAAACTTGCAGCCGGCTGTGGAGGTGTGTCTCTTGAGGTGCAAAATGCGCGTGTAATTGTGTGGGTTGTGTGTAGTCAAGGAAAAACCAAGGACTTACCTGAAACCTGTGCGAAGAGAAAGACAAAAGAAAGTAACTTTAAAGGAAGTTGCCTCTCGACACTGCTGCTGCTAGTTGCTTAATGTTGGGGACGGTTAACAATTAAGCGTGAGAATTTGAAAACTACGACATTTTTAGGCTGAAATGTGAATCGTCTAAAACAAAGATGCCATCGCGTGTGAAGATCGGTTTCCCTTTCGAAGGGTTTTCGAGTGACTTCGTGGAATTTCACTCTCAGTTCGGAAATTTTACTTTCAAATTTTGCACCCAGATCAATATTTACCCGAAGAACAAACTGCAAAACATAAGATCAATCTGTTCGATCTCCCTTAAAAAAAAACCGGCCCGAAACCGAAGTGAGAAAAGAGTTAGCGCGGTCAAATTTCACTCCATTATGCTGCGCGATCGATGACCGATCTTCCCGAGCCGGGTCGGGCTTCCTTTTGTGTACCGTCGGCCAACGATAATACCTTTTATTGATCCGGTAAATATTGTTGTTCGGAAAGCAAATCGATCGTTCTTTTCTCACATTTCGATTTCTTTGCAAACACACCATACAGTCTGCCTCCACTGAGAGAACCAGCAAAGAAGAGATCGAGTGGGCATTCTTCGGGAACAATATGATTGAAAGCGGGTGAAAACAAAACAAATCAACCACCTTCTTCGAGTGGCCACAGTCAGTCAGGTCTTCTTCGGGCAGGAACGGCCGAGAGCAAAAATGACCAACCCAGACAGAAAGGTGAACAGAAGTAGCACCCATCCAACAAAAGACTGAAGCGCTATTCTGGTTAATGTTTTTCTTTTGTAGACAACACAAAACCCGAAACTCAAACAACGTTCGGGAGTTTCAATAAAATGGATTTCAGGAAAACAAAATAAAAGACTACAAAATTATCTGGTCATCACTTTGGATCGGAATAAGAAGCGAGCGCACACGGTGGTGCAAAGAGCCGAAAATCCGCCGAAAACATTCCAATCGAACGGCGAAAACCGAACAAACATTCACCCACTATTCAGAAGAATCAAATAAAGAAAAAGAACGGAGAGGGGGCCAAAAGCGCCAAATCATCCCCGGGCACGTTAGCCGGTCGACTCTCGAATGCCTACAAATAAAAACAATCCCAAAAACACACCATTGATACCCTGTAGTTTTGTTCTTTGCTTCACTTTTGCCGACTGACGCGTCGGAAAAACTAACCTCCTACTCCACACTGCATCATTTTACGGCCCGGCCGAAATCAATCCACCGTCGTCGAAGGGTCGATGGATGATGATTTAATAGAGCGAGCGAGGGTATTCGAGATCGGTATCAGCGCGCATCCAAGTCGGCTCTGCTCGGGGGTCGCTATAGAGCTGGTGGCATTCCTATATCGGATAGCCTACTTGGATGGGACGGATGACCATCAGGGCTGCGGCGCTTTTTCTTTTTCATTTTCTTTTTTGTTTGTTGGCAGTGACCATTAGTGTTTGTATTCTTGCCGCGTCGTCGTCGTCGTCGTTGGTAATTTGTTATTGTTGCATCATCAGACAGATATGTATTAGAAAGAGAAGGTCGAAACAGCGACTAGTAATCGACTTGTTAGACCACACCCAGAAGGGTATTCGATGAAAGCTATACCACTTATGGTTGATACACATATTCGTTATCGATTGGTTGTAATCTAGCCGTTTCTGACGGAGAGACTTCGGGTGTTATTTTAAGTGTGGAGGTCTATTTGGATGCAGTTTTAACAAGGACAAACTTGGTTTGCATTGCGATTCTGAAATTGGAACTTCCACAAAGCAAAAACTAATTGTGAATTAGATAATATTAATGATTCAAATTAATCAACAACATAACCATGTCACGCTACAGGTTAGTAAAATACATAAGAAGCAACCTTTCAAGCAGTATAAACAGTAGAAACCGGTTAATTCAAAATACATTATTAGTTTGGGTTTCAAAGTGTTACGGTCATTTTAAGATCAGTTTGATATTTTGAACTATGTTGACCTTTATGAGCTATTTTATGGTTTTACTATGGCATTTTAATATACGCCATTTACATTATAGGCTGTCCATAAACTGCGTTGACACTTTAAGAAGGGAAGAGGCGGTAAATTTATCTTATAATACTGGCCATTTCTGCTGGCAGCTTTCTGACAACTCCTTTCCAGGCCTATCATGCCTGTGTTGCTACTATTTGTTTCACAACCCACCCTTGCCTCTATTTTTTGAGTGGATTTTTTTTTTCACAAAACGGAATGTTTTCACTGCAGATGTGTAACCAGTTGGTTACAATCCGTGGATTTTCTTCTGTATGAGTTACTGTTGGTTGGGAAAATTCACGTTTTGTTAAACTTAAAACAGTAGACACACACAAGAGCGAGAGGACTTGTGCCGCTGCAAAGAACAACAACGTAACGTTACTGAAGGGAGGAAAATCTTGGCTTTAAAATAACAATGGATGCGCAAATTGGATGATGAATAGCTAGCCATCTTAGATTTGGAAGATTAGGCATGAGTAACCAGGCGTCCGTGTAGACCAGTTGAGTGTGAAGTGTAGTGTATATATAATACAAGCCCCCCCCCCCCTTGTGGGGTTTTGCCTGGAAAGCCTAACTCCGTTCAGGACCTCTTATGCTCTTGTGCTTTTGTTCACCTCGTACCGTAAATAAAACGGTCTTACACGGCTCGGCTCGGAAGTCAAGATGGCCTAATAGTAAATGATACTCGATCGTCCGTCAGGGACGATTCCCTCAGACCGGTGGCCTTAAATTCCAAGGAGGGTCCCGTCTCAGCTCGACCAAGGTGGCCATGCCACGGTCAGCCGATGCCATCCGACGGAAGACGCCTGCCAGCCAAACGAGCCAGCAACGCCTGCTGAGCCGTATGTGGTTGATGAACGCCACCAGATCCGCCATTCTCCCAAAGCTGCAACACTGTCTGCAGCCCGCGCCGCAAGTTTCCGGCCACACGGTAATGCAGGAGCAGCCGTGTGGGCCAGCGCCAGCGTCGCGACGCCGTAGGAGATCCCGCTGCAGCAGTGAGTGCAGTGCAAATTTTAAGCCCTAAAATACACGCCACATAAATGTCAAAACCCACACCCACACGCCACAGAATAGGGCAATAAATGTTTTAGAAAATGTGAATATTCCTGTATTTTCATACTTTGACCGCGTAGCCCCTCCGAATACCCAGTAACTTGCCGGCCCTGAGTTAGTTACCCGGGAGTTTCTGGTCATGCCATAGTCACAGATGACTTCTAAATTTATTAACTTTTCCGTTCGTTGCATAATCATCAAATTGTTGAGATATTGTTAAAAATCTATCACTGCATCTTGACCCCAAACTCAGCCTTGCCTTACCTTACCAATCAGGCTAAGGCCTTGTTGTTCTCTGCTGTCCGAAGAAGTCGTCTCTACTCTACTCGATCCATGGCCACAGTTCGCCAGCCTCGTAGTCTGCGAAGGGTCCGCAGGTCGCCTTCGACTTGGTCGATCCACCTTGCCCGCTGCGCGCCTCTTCTTCTTGTTCCTGTTGGGTCGCTTTCCATTTTCACTGGGTCGTCGTGCGGCATTCTTACGACGTGCCCAGCCCACCGTAGTCGCTCAATTTTTGCAATGTGGACGATGGATGGTTCTCCCAGCAGCTGGTGCTATTCATGGTTCATTCGCCTCTTCCACGTTCCGTCATACATCTGCACTCCACCGTACCATATGCGTGATAATGTTTGCACCATTGAGCAATGTCAAAATTAAAAAAAAAATCCTAAAAAATTCCGTTTTCGAGTTTTTTTATTTATTCAAAGGGGGGATGTTTCTCAGCGTCTTAAACTATGTTAATCATCGATCGAGTTTCCACTTGCTGCAATTACGGCCTCAACACGCTTCCGGAATGCACGGCAGGTTCCAATAATGTAGTCTGGATCCATTTCTCTCCAGGCACGGGTCAATGTTTGTCTGAGGCTTGCTGTACTCGGGTGGCGTTTAGAATAGGCCTTGGCCTTCATTGAGTAATCCAGCGGATTAAGATCGAGGCTGGATGGTGGCCACATATCCTTCGCCCAGAACGGAAGATGTTCCTGCAACCACTTCTGAGTGCGGTTCAAGGTGTGGCACAGAGCCCCATCTTGTTAAAATACAACATTTGGCTTCGGACCGTACTGTTCTTTGATCCACGGAAGAACACACTTACTTAAAATCCCGATGTAGAAATCCGTGTTGACCTTGTCGCCTTCTGGAATGAACACCGGGTCAATTTTTTTGCCATCGGAAGCCACCAATCCAAACACCGTAACGCTAGCAGGATGTTTGGTCAGATACACGTTCTTGTGCTCGTCGGCCACGTCTTTTACCGGAAGAGAACTAATATACCGGTCGGTTCTGGAATTTGATACAGGATCGACGGTAAACATGCTCACGTCGGTAAATAGGATTACCGGATTTTTTCACTAAGGAAGATCAAGATTTTCTTGCATCGTTCGACTCGTAGCTCCCGGATGCGGTTGGTAATCATGTGAGTTCCGTGCCCTCGACTTCGTCCCGCAATCTTCCTTTACGATCTTCCGTGCCGTAAAGTCACTGATCTCGTATTCCTTTGCCATTTTCCTTATTGAACGCACTGGATTAACCCGAATCTTCCTTTTGAACTAAATATTAATAGAGGCAATTCTATATCGTTCACAAGAAAGCACGCTGTAATACACAACACAATTGCTCTTGGTCAGAAAACAATCCAAAGATCCTAAATATCAAGTCAGAGACTTAGGTGTTATCCTCGACAACAAGTTAACTTTTGCTGATCACTACAATAACATTACCTACAAAGCAAGCAACATGCTTGGGTTCATTAAAAGATTTAGTTAGCACTTCAATGATCCCTACACAATGTAAACACTTTACGTAGCATATGTGAGGCCTCTTCTCGAATATTGTAGCATAGTTTGGGCTCCATATCATGATACACATGTAAACCGCATTGAATGCGTTCAAAAGCAGTTCTTGTTGTTTGCTCTAAGAAAGTTG